TCTCTCTCTCTCTCTCTCTCTCTCTCTCTCTCTCTCTCTCTCTCTCTCTCTCTCTCTCTCTCTCTCTCTCTCTCTCTCTTTCTCTCTCTTGTGTGCGCTCTTAGGGCGTCGTTAGACACTCCTCGGGGACGTGATTCTAAGGATTTCGTCTTCGTTCCACCTGTTCTTGGAGATGAAATCGGAATGAAAATGTGAAAACACTCCGAGGACAAATCCTTGGTCTCCGAGGATTTCCCAGCCAAATCGTCCTCGGCTCCGAAGGACCTCACGAGGTCCTTTGGGGCCCGAGGATCCGTGTTTCATGGAGTGGAGAGACGTTACAATCGAGAGGTCCTTTGGGGCCCGAGACGTTACGATCGAGAGAACCTCGCGAGGTCCTTTGGGGCCCGGCACCCTATTGGCTGAAAGCCTGAAGCACAGCTTTTTTTCTTTTTTTTTTTCCTTTTATTTTTCTGACATTGCTCCGAGGATGAGTCCTAAAACCGATGCTCCGAGGATGAGTGTAACGAAGACGACGAAAAACCTAAACTTTTCTGAGGATTCATCCTCGGAGCCCGAGGATGCCCCGAGGAGTGTCTAACGACGCCCTTAGTCTCATTGCTTTGGCTACCTTATGGCTGCGTTCCCCGCGCTCACGCGGTAGACAGTAGCTGTCTATCCTCTGCAAACCCACGGAGGACCAGTCACAAAAAACTTTCGACCCCGATATGCCCCTTTTTCATGTGGTCTTCCGCCGCAAAAATTCGTGCACCTTGGCAGAGACGGGGCAACGCCACTGTACCACCACCTGAGAAAATCAATTTTATTTTTTATTTATGAACTTTAGGGTTGCGAATCGGACGGTTAATGAGGCCAGATCCCGTCGAGGAGGCGCAAGTTTGATCACCGAGGAATTTTCCCCCCAACCCCAACTCCGTCTATCGAGAAAGGTCCGCGCCACGGCATTCACCGACAAAAGTCCGGAAGCGGACAAGGTCCGAAAGGGTCCAAAAAGAGGTCCAAAGCGGGTCCAAAGCAGGTCCAAAACGCACGCAAAAAGGTTCAAGAAATGTCCGCCGCGCCCATGGCGTTGGGGACGACCCGAAGGCGGGACGAACTTGCATCTCTGCACTGCACTGTCAGAGACTGACGTTCTTCCGAAGGCGGGCGGAAGGGAGGGGGCAACCTAAAGCGATCCGTTACTACGCGCGGAAAGGTCGCGGAAAGAAGGGAAAGCGACTGGTTGGTATGCGCAAAAAAGCGGAAAGGTTGGGAGACCAAGGGGAAGCTCCTGAAGCCATTGACGTTTCACGAACGACGAAGGGAATGGAAGATGGGAGAGGGATAAGAAGAGAGAGAGAGGCGGGGAGTTTGCAAATTTTGCCATTCTTCCTGGTCTGTTCTTGACCGATGTAATCTGATGACGGATTGCAGTCTGGACTAACAAAATTAACTGTAGTTAGTGAGTAAGGAAAACATAGATACTTTCCCTCCCTGTGCACCCCTCCTCTTCACCCCCCCCCCCTCTCTCCCCCCCTTTTCCCCCCCCCTCCCTGTCTTCTTTTTTTTTTTTTTTCTCTCTCTCGCCTTCTCTCTCTCTCTCTCTCTCTCTCTCTCTCTCTCTCTCCCTCCCTCTCTCTCCCTCTCCCTCCCTCTCTCCCCCCCTTTTCCCCCCCCCTCCCTGCCCCCTTTTTGCTACGGTAAGTAGAACTGTGACTTGGCTGTGGGTAGAGAATTGACTTCGACAGTGACCGGGCCGCGGGGATTGACTTCGACAAAGACTTGAAAGCAGCCGAGAGAGATGACTGTGTAATGTGGCTATGGCGTAGCCAGGGGGGAGCAAGCGGATCATCGGTCTTCGGGTTTGTGATTTGGGGAATTTCCGGTACTTTATCATCCAACCTGCTGCATTTTGCCCGTAATCCGAGTCGGATGCATCGTTTTTTCCATTCCCAGGAGTGAGGAACGACGTAAAGACTTGGCGATCGACCGATCGAGGGATCCATACCCATCCATCCATGCGACAAAGCGATTGATTACTCTCCGCACTGATGTTCGGTGCGGTGATGACGCTCCGTTTGATCTTTTGTGTCTGCTCGGCGATGTTGACTCAGTGGTGAGATGTAGTGATTTAGTCGGTGATTGACGCAATGATGACTCAGTGATTGTTCAGCGATCATTCGGTGAATGCCTCCGTGATACTCTTTAGATCGACAGGGGAAGTGGTTGATGATCAGAGCAAGTCGATCGATCGAAATCGGTGACGGATTCTCGTGGTCGAAACTATGTACCTCATCTGGTACGGTTTTCAGGCCAGGTTCGTTCTATTATCTGATTGAACGGATGGATTATCGTACGAACTTAGGATCGTCGTCGAGTTGCTGGAAGTCCGCAAGAGAGTGATTTTCCCATCAAGAGGTTTTTTTTTTGCATTCAACTGGGTTTCTATTGGACGTGGCCGGGTGGATGATGTTCATCAGGGGTACCGGCAGGCAGTCTGTGAGAGCGTCTAACTAAAGGAGAAATAGGTTAGCGTACACGGAGAGAGAGAGAGAGAGAGAGAGAGAGAGAGAGAGAGAGAGAGAGAGAGAGAGAGAGAGAGAG